TGTGAGTGAGCGAAGCCCTTCCCTTAATGACACATTTCCTGAGAACAATGCAAGGTCACACCTGGACAACTCAAACGTCCAAGCTTTGGCCTCAAATTAATTCAGCTACTCTGAGCGTGCTGATTAAGAACAAAGAAAGAAAGAAACAAAACAAAGGTCTCTTCCGCTATTCTTGGAGCCATCTCATCGACCACACACAATTCTCGGAGTCTCTAGACTTGGTTTTATTTTCTTCTTTCTTTTTTATTTGAAGTAAAACATACATTTTACAAATAAGGACACGAAGTGTGCTAATCTCAAGTGACCAGCTCAACGATGCTTTACCTCTATGTGCCTTCAAGGAACCACCACCAGACCACAATACAGAACACTTCCAACCCCCAGGATTCCCTTACGTCCCTTCTCAGTCAATACCCCCCAGAGGTAACCTCTCACTTTGAACACCATAGATGAGTTTTGCCTGTTTTTGAACTTCATGTAAGTGGAGTACGTCCTCTTTTGTTGTGTTTGACTGCCTTCGCTCAACATGGATCTCTGAGATTCACCCACTTTGGGTGTGTATCAGTATTCCACTCTTTTTCAGTGCTGTGCGGTATCCCTTTTTTTAACTACAAATTTTATTTTTGTGTGTGAAACTATACGCAGTAAACCAGACACCATTTCAACAGTTTCTACATGTTACATTGATTACAATGTTCAAGTTGTGTAACCGTTCTCGCTCTCCTTTTCCAAATCATTCCACCACCATTAAGATAAACTCCCGGCCCCCTAAGCTTCTCATCTAACCTTTTGAGCTGCTGTTGTCAATTTGATCCCACCTGTGCAGTATCCCTTTGTATGAATAGACCACCGTTGATTCATCCATCCTCCTCTAGAAGAAGGTTTAAATAATTTCCAACCATTGGCTCCTGTGAATAAAGCTGCTCTGAACATTCTAGTATACATATCGCTCGGTGCACATGTTGTTGTTGGGTGCTGTCGAGTTGGTTCTGACTCACAGCGACCCTATTTACAACAGAACAAAATACTGCCTGGTGTTGTGCCATCCTTACAATCGTTGTTATGCTTGAGCCACTGCTGCAGGCATCGTGTCAATCCAGCTTGTTGAAGGTCTTCCTCTTTTTCGCTGACCCTCTACCAAGCATGACATCCTTCTCCAGGGGCTGGTCCCTCCTGATAACATGTCCAAAGAACGTGAGATGAAGGGTCGCTATCCTTGCCCCTAAGGAGCATTCTGGCTGTACTTCTTTCAAGACGGATTATGGAGCACACAGAGACTTATTTCTCTTGGGCACATATCTAGAAGAAGAATTCCTGAGTCTTGGAGTAAGTATAGTTTGCTCTAGTAGATACTGCCAAATTGTTTTCCAAAGTGGTTGTCCTTTTTTATGTTCCTATCAGCAACTATATGAAGAATGTGGCATCAGCATTGGAGGAAGACTCATTAACAACCTGCGATATGCAGATGACACAACCTTGCTTGCTGAAAGTGAAGAGGGCTTGAAGCACTTACTGATGAAGATCAAAGACCACAGCCTTCAGTATGGATTACATCTCAAAGAAAACAAAATTCCTCACCACTGGACTCGGAAGCAACATCATGATAAATGGAGAAAAGATTGAAGTTGTCAAGAATTTCATTTTACTTGGATCCACAATCAACACCCATGGAAGCAGTAGTTAAGGAAAGAAAAGACGCATTGCATTGGACAAATCTTCTGCAAAAGACCTCTTTAAAGTGTTAGGAAAGCAAAGATGTCACCTTGAAGACTAAGGGGCACCTGATCCAAGCCATGGTGTTTTCAATTGCCTCATATGGATGTGAAAGCTGGACAATGAATAAAGAAGACCAAAGAAGAACTGATGCCTTTGAATTGTGGTGTTGGCAAAGAATCTTGAATATACCATGGACTGCCAGAAGCACAAACAAATCCATCTTAGAAGAAGTACAACCAGAATGCTCCTTAGAAGCAAGGATGGCGAGACTTCATCTCACGTAGGTCGGACACGTTATCAGGAGGGATAAGTCCTTGGAGAAGGACATCATGCTTGGTAAAGCAGAGGGTCGGTGATAAAGAGGAAGACCCTCCACGAGGTGGTTTGACACAGTGGCTACAACAATGAGCTAAAGCCTAACGATGATTATGAGGATGGAGCAGGATTGGGCAGTGTTTCGTTATGTTGTACATAATAGGGAGCTATGAGTCAGAATCAAGTCGACGGCACCTAAATACAACATCAGCAATGTATGGGATTTCCTGTTGCTCCACATCCTCACCAACACTTGATTCTGTCAGTTTTTTAAATTTTGGCCATTAGAGGAGGGGAATGACCACCCCTGGTTTAAAAGATAGCCCTGGCCAGGTGATCAAGGTTAACACCATCAGTAATAAATCACGTTGACAGCATGTACCCTTGATATGTTACCATGAGAATGACATTTTATTTCTGTGGTCTTCCTCCCCAAAATCCATAACCCCAATCTAACCATGAGAAAAACATCAGAAAAATTCAAATTGAGGGACAAAATACCTATCTCCTCAAAATACTCCTCAAAAGTCAAAAGTCAGTGAACCTCTCCAGTCCTCAGGTAGCTCACCTGCCAAGACGAAATGACAGCATCACTTGCCTTCCTGGGGAGTTGTGACATTTAAGCAAGATGTCAAAAATAAAAGTGCTCGCCTTCCCAGCTGGCACATGACAGGTGCTCAATAAGAACAGTCCATGGATTTATAACAATTATTATTGCCCCATGACGATTATTATTCCAATTAAAATGGGAGCTCCCTGTGGGCAAGGGATTTCATTGTCTCCAGTATGGATTCACCAGTGTCTGCCACATAGTGGATGCTCAGAAGCAGCATTTTGGTTGCACGAGTTCTGTATTTGGAGCTAGAATGTGGGCCTGGACTCCAGGCATTATATTTATCTCTATATCTGCGTATCTCCACTACCCATCCGTGAATTTGTCGTACTGTGGTGGCTGTGTTGCTATGATGCTGGAGGCTATGCCACTGGTATTTAAATACCAGCGGGTCCTCCCTGGTGGATAGGTTTCAGTGGAGCTTCCAGGCTAAGACAGACTAGGAAGAAAGGCCTGGCAACCTACTTCCAAAAATTAACGCGTGAAAACCCTATAGATCACGACGGAACATTGTCCGATAAAGAGCTGGAAGACCCGCCCCCTAGGTGGGAAGGCACTCAAAATATACAGTGGCTACAAGAGTGGACTCAAGCACACCAACAATTGTGAAGATGGTGCCCTCTTCAGGATCGGGCAATGTTTCTTTTTGTTGCACGTGGGGTCACCATGAGGCAGAGCTGACTCATCTCAATGGCAACTAACAACCAGAAGTATACACATTTTTTCTCACTGTGGTAAAACATACATACAATTTAACTTTCTAACCATTTTTAAGTACCGAATTCAGTGTCATTAATTATTGTCACAGTGTTGTGCAACCATCACCCCTATCTATTTCCAGAGCTTTTTCATCACACCAAACAGAAACTCTGTACCCATTAAGCAATAACTCCCCACTGTCCCCTCCCTCCAGTCCTCAGCAACCACTAACCTACTTTCTGTCTCTGTGGATTGTCCTCATCTGGACATTTCCTATAAATGGCATCATGCACTGTTTGCCCTTTTGTGGCCGGCTTTTTTCACTCAGTGTCATGGTTTCAAGGTTCGCCCATGTTGTAGCATGTAGCAGAGCTCCATTCCTTTTATTTATTTTTTGGTTTTGTTTTGTGATAAAATATATCCCTTGCCGTCAAGTTGATTCCGACTCCTGGCAGCCCCATGTGTTACAGAGTAGAACTGCTCCACAGGGTTTTCTTGGCCGTAATGTTTACCGAAGCAGACTGCCAGGCCTTTCTTCTGTGGAGCCAGTGGGTGGGTTCAAACTGCTAACCTTTAGGTTAGTAATCAAGTGCAAACCGTTTGCGCCACCCAAGAACCCTGTGGTAAAATATGTCATTATTGTTAAGTGCACTCCAACTCGTAGCGATCCCATGTAACAGAGTAGAACTGTCCCATAGGGTTTTCGAGGCTGTAATCTTTATGGAAGCAGATCGCCAGGCCTTTCTTCTGTAGAGTCGATGGGTGGGTTCAAATCCCTGGTCTTTCAATATAGCAGCCGAGCACTTAACCAGGGCTCCTGTGGTAAAGTATACGTAACATAAAATTTACCACTTTACCCATTTTTACGTGTACCCCTCAGTATCATTCACATTCATTCCTTTTGATGGCTGAATAGTATGCCATGGTATGGATATACCTTACTGTGTATATTATCATCCGCTCACCAACTGGCAGACATTTGAGTTGGTTCCACCTTTTGGCTATCCCGGCTATTATACTTAATGATGAATTATTATTTTAGTAATTTACTGAGAATTATTATTTTAATAATTTAAGGATAAATTATTATTTCACTAGACGGAGTCCGAGCCGCTCAAGGTCACCCTGGCCCCGAGCGGGATTCGAACCCGCTTCCGACGGCCCGGCGGGGTTTCCCGGGGTCCCCGCTACTGGCCCGCGAGGGCGTCCGAGGGCAGCCGAGGGCGGGCGAACCC